TACCTCCATTACAACAAAGCACATATCTGGAGGTCAACCATAACCTCACCTCTCATTTCACTGTGTAATGTCTGTCTGGGGTTTTCTCTCAAGGTATCCCATAATTGGATATACAAAGAATACAGAAGGAATGGGGTTATTATCACTCAGGATATCACTCAGATTCCCTTTTCCTTTGGCTCACCTCAACCTAATTGCAAAGTGTGGCAGATAAATCCTGCTCTATCTCACCCGGGGCTGGCTGCACTCCAGCGGTCATGGGAGAGGAGAACAATTTGCTGTGTTTATTGCTGGTGTAACTCTGCAAGGCAGCGTGGTCCCCCAGCTGACTTGTCTGTAAGCTCAGGATCTCAACAGAGGAGCTCAGCTCCAGATCCTTTCAGACTTCACAAAATGCACAAGGATTCCCAAAGCCATTGCAGTTTTCTGTAAAGTAACACCTGTTTGGCAATGGGTTTAAACACCCTACAGGAGCTAAGACACTCTGGGGTCTTTGGAAAAGCACTCCTAGAGCATTCTCCCTAGAAAGTTTTTAATATTTTTTATTATTATTGTTGTTATTTGCTCCAAAATGGCAGCAAACAACTTTCCTACAGCCCTGTCAGCCCAGTTCAGTAGGTTTACGTGGCAGTCACACAGAGGGTCAGTGATCAGAGTCCCAAACCAACTCAGGTGCAAGGAATAGAAAGGAGGTGGAGGAAGACTTCCAAAATTGACAAAACTCACACTTCAAATTCACAGCTCTTACACTCTCATGAGCAGCTGAAAAGACAGAACCAAGACCTTCTCCTGCCCTCTTTGTCTTAAAACCAGCAGAGACAACACCTGACTAAAGAGGTGGCACAGACATTGCAGGCAGGTGCCTGAGCACAGCAGACAAGGATGAACATCCGAGCAGCTTTGCCAGATCAGGAGAAAGTTAATTTATTTCTGACAGTGGCCAGGCTGAAGTCCTTCCATCTGCAGAAGCTTATCCACGTCTTGGATCATATGGCATGCATGAAGTGAGTGAGAACAACCTTAGACCTAACTCTGTAGGTGGAAATGTCTTTTGAAGGATGTTATTCAAGAGAGATGTAGCAGCTTTAAAATCCTACGGGCAAATGTGCTATCAGTTTCACTGAAAACTGCTACTGCTCCATGGCAAAGATGGTTTTCTCTTTTGGTCCTATGAATGGCAATCACATAAGGGTCCTACAGATGTACATGTAGGGTGGCAGCAGAGATCCTGCCCGGTAACACCCCACTGGTGGATGGATGGATGGATGGATGGATGGATGGATGGATGGATGGATGGATGGATGGATGGATGGATGGATGGATGGATGTCCTGGGAAGGTCCTGGCTGTTTTCCAACATTAAATTGCATGATTCACTTAACATCTCTATCATCACTTCTCCGTTCATGAAAAGGAATGGCCACAGTTCCTTTGCCTTTTTTTAATTTTTAATTTTTTATTTGTGTGTGTGTGTGTAGCTACATTTTGGATCTCCTATGGTGTGCAAGGCATGGGAGAGGCATCCACAACAATCTTACTCCAGGAAGACAGACAAAAAGTTGTGTTCCAGCTTCCAGTGCAACCAGTTTCACTTCTCTAAGTGCACTTCTTTTAATCACCATACTCTGTGTGCCTCCCCTGCCCAGCAGTTTCTCCCTGAACCTACCCAAACAATTCTTCCTTTCATAGGCATCGCTACATCTGTTGTCCGGAGCTCTGGGGAGTGGCTTTTTGGGGCAGGTTTCACATGAGCAACAATGGCATTTTTGGACCTGACTTATCGATACCTTGATTCCTTTGTAAGGAAAGGTAAGAGGTAATTTTAGGAGGGGTGTGTGTATGAGCATGGAAGGAGTGTTTTTAATTAACTCCCTTCATCTCGGCATCCACCCAGTGATTAGGAGGAAGCTCCGATCTGATAAATAAGGCAGCAAAGAACAATGATGCCTCTTTCTTCACGGGATCTGCAGCAATTCTCTTCTGGGTGGCTTTTCCCAGGGCGTGGGTCCCCCCCACATGCATGTCTTTACAGACAAGGCAGGAAATGCCTCTTTGTCGGGATAAACAGTGGGGGCTGGCTGTGCATGGACTTTCCCCCCTTCCCAAAAAAAATCCGGTGCTTTTTTTTTTTTTTTTTTTTCCCAAATTTAAGAAGAAATGTTGCTTTCATCTCACCGATACCTTGGCAGTGTAGACAGGAGAGGCTGTAGCATGTCCTTAGCCTTAGAGGGGACACAAGGATGCCTTCACATCTCCCCTGGCTCCAGCTATGGGGATGGAGCAGGTTCCTGCCACCTCCCTGCCCTGGCCAGAAGGAAAGTTTCCTGGCAGCTCAGGCACAGCAAGGGGACACGATGTAGCACCAGGCAGAGTAAATCCCCACATCCCTGCTCTCAATACTGGGGTGGGTGGTGGGACACCAAACTGAGCCCATCCCTTCGTTAATGGAAGAGCTGACGGGGCTTGGGTCACCTCCTTCAGTCCAGCAGCATCTTCCTACCTCATTCCTGAGCAAAGAGTGGGTGTTTTCCAAGGAAAATATTTTTTCGTTTGTTAAAATAACACAAAAGCTCACATATGTTCCAGTATTATTATTATTTTTTTTTTCTGGGAAAATAGTTACTTCAAAAATGGCACGCTAAAAAAGAATCTGCAAAATAATTAAAAATAATAATAAGCAGAGAAATCCAATCATTTCCCCAGTTTACCAGCGAGATGTTTCAATTGCATCTCATTGCAATTTCATTTTGAAATTTGCTTAAGCATAATCATACTCTTAAAAAAAAAAGTAAAAAAAAAAAAAAAACTAGCTCAAGAGTAATGCTTTTTCCTCCAAATGAGGTTTTATTAACACTTTATTTTTCCCCACAGAGCAACTCAGGAAATGCTCATTTTAGACGTGAAATACAGTTATTAAAGACATTCATTTATTTACAGCTTTCCAATTCAGACAGAGGACTCAAAAGCTGGCTAATTGAGCAGCTCCAGGCTGGAACACGGCGGAGACTTTCCAAAGGGGAGGCAGGCCAGGGAGCACCCCTTCCTCCTGATTTGCCAAGGGGGAAAGAAAAAGCAAAAAGTATTTTCTCAACTTCTTTATCCCTCATATATATAAATCCTACAACTGTGGCTGTATGAGTTATTTCCCTTCTCTGTTTTCCTCATGAAAAACAAAAAAGTGCAGTTCCTCTGGTTTTCCGTGAGAACTTGCTGGAGGATTAATGAGGTGAAGTCACGAGGAAAAGCAAGTTAAGAACCCTGAACAGCTCCAGTGAAAAAAAAAACTTCCAAGAGCTTTTAAATACCTGTTCAGTCAAAATACCTGACCCAGCACTTGAGCAAAGCTCTTGCTGCAAATGTTCAAAAGCATTCCCTGAGCTTTCAGGGCGGAAAAAGTGCCCAGTCCTCTTCTCCATCCCCTGAGGAGCCTCTGTGTGAGAATGGGAGAGGAAAAAAGGGAAGGGAAGGGAAGGGAAGGGAAGGGAAGGGAAGGGAAGGAAGGAAGGGAAGGGAAGGAAGGGAAGGGAAGGGAAGGGAAGGGAAGGGAAGGGAAGGGAAGGGAAGGAAGGGAAGGGAAGGAAGAAGGGAAGGGAAGGGAAGGGAAGGGAAGGAAGGGAAGGGAAGGGAAGGGAAGGAAGGGAAGGGAAGGGAAGGGAAGGGAAGGGAAGGGAAGGAAGGGAAGGGAAGGGAAGGGAAGGGAAGGGAAGGAAGAAGGAAGGGAAGGGAAGGGAAGGGAAGGGAAGGGAAGGGAAGGGAGGGAAGGAAGAAGGGAAGAGAAGGAAGAAGAGAAGAAGAGAAGAGAAGAAAGAAGAAGAGAAGAGAAGAGAGAAGAAAGAAAGAGAAGAGAAGAGAAGAGAAGAGAAGAGAAGAGAAGAGAAGAGAAGAGAGAGAAGAAAAGAGAAGAGAAGAAAGAGAAGAGAAGAGAAGAGAAGAAGAGAAGAGAAGAGAAGAGAAGAGAATAAATGAAATAAATGAATAAGGAAAAGAAAAAACAGAAAATAGAAAAAAAAAGAAAAAGGAAAAAAAAATAAAAAAAAGAAGAGAAAAAGAAAAAAGAAAAAAAGAAAAAAAAAAAAAAAAAAAAGAAAAAAAGAAAAAAAGAAAACAAAAATAAAAAGAAAAAAAGAAAAAAGAAAAAGAGAGAAGGACCTTTGAAAGGTCGTGGCTGTGTTAGGATGAAGAACAAGAAGAGGGGTGGCCGTGTTTACAGGGTGCTGAGCTGGGAGCGAGGCTCGGTACTCTGCTGGTCAGCTAATTACTGGGTGAACCTGAAGACATCACTTCACATTTTGTGTCGCAGCCTCTCCATGCATGAAATGGAGGTAGTGCGAAATGATGCTCACTCATCATCATAAAGATTAAGAGGTGGCTGGCGGAGCCAGGTTTTGCTGCTCGGCTTCCTAAAGGGGGGGTCACCTGCGGGGACATGGGGCTGAAGGGTGTGGGGTGATGGGGGTGGGAGAAGGGCCAGGGGGCCATGGCAAGGGACCTCGTGCCAGGGCTGGATAATTTTTTGGGGCACCAATGGGTCTGGATGGAGGGTTATGGGGGTGTGAGCACATAACCTGCACCCCCAGGGGTGGTCTGGGGAGGAGATCCAGGTGGTCTTGTTGGAGGAGACCCCAGGTGCTGTTGATTGCAGTGGGGGCAGGATTTGGCCCAGGACTTTCAGGGCTGTACCTCCAGCAGCAAGCAGCTCTAGGACACATCTCCAAGGGGACAGAGCCGCTGCTGTCACCCCCAGAAAGTGCCTGGGGGGGGGCTGCAAAGAGATTAAGACTCGTGGGGTGCTGCGACCCCCAGGGAGGGATAAAACCCATGGGGATCGGGGGGTGAGGCAAATGCCCAGGGATGCGCAGGGGCTGTCCGGAGCCCCAAATCCACAAACTGGGGGGGGAAACCCCCCCGGGGGGGACCCGGGGCGGGGGCCGGGCAGGCGGGGAGGAGGGAGGCCGGGCCTCCAAGCCCCTCCCCGCGGGGCCGCGGCCGCGGTAGAGGCGGGGGCGACGGCGGAGGCAGCCCGGGGAAGGCGGCGAGGGCTGCCCCGCCGCTCGGGCTGGAAGTTTGCTGCTGGAAGGGGAGGGAAAAAAAAGGGAAAAAAGGAAAAAAAATATTAATAACAATCACGGGAATAGGAAAAGAGTAATAATAATAAAAAATAATAATACCGTAAAAATATATGATCGTTATAATAATATAGGAGGGAGAAGAAGAAGAAGAAGAGGAATAGCTCGAGGCTGCTGCCCCGGAGGGATGCGGGGGAGCGCGGCCGCCGGGAGCCCCCCGGCTGCGGGCAGGACCCGGGGCCGGCCGTGAGCGCTCGCCCCGGGAGGGCCGGGCCGGGGCCGCCTCCCGCCCTGCCCAGCCTCCGCGCATCCTCCGGCACCGCCTGCACGGGCCGAGGTGTGCCGTGCCGAGCCGTGCCGAGCCGTGCCGAGCCGTGCCGAGCCGTGCCGAGCCGTGCCGAGCCGTGCCGTGCCGTGTCGGTGTGATCCGAGCCGTGCCGAGCGGTAGGATGAGGGGCATCCTCTACTTCTGCACGCTGATCCTCCTGGGTGAGTAGGAAGCGAGGGGGGACAACTTTCTGCTGGGGGGTGACTGGGGGGACACCGTGGTCGCCCCCCTCGGGCTGCCACTCGCCAGCCCCCCCCGGTAGCATCACCTGGCTCTTTTTAGTGCCTGCTCGGGACACAAGAGCTGGGACCCATCCTGCTGTCGCTCCGGGTGGTCCTGCGTGCGCTGGTGGCTCCTGGACCCGGGGAACGAACGCACTTCGTGCCGGGGAAGAGGAGCTTGGGGGGGGCGGCTTTGGGAGCTGGAGGATTTTGCACGGTGCCGGGCAATGGGGTGATGGAGAAACAGGGAAATGTCGAAGGGTTTAGCAGCCCCAGGTGTGCTGGGTGTACTGGGTATGCTGGTTGCTCTGGGTGCTCTGTGTGAGTTGGGTGTACTGGGTGTACTGGGTGTACTGGGTGTACTGGGTGTACTGGGTGTACTGGGTGCGCTGGGTGCGCAGCGCCGAGCGCCTGGGCAGCCGCGGGTGCCCCTTTGCCGAGCCGTGTCCCCCCGAACTGCGATGCCCGAGGGGGTTTTTACACCGGGAGCGGTCTCCCAGGACCCCAGCCGTGTCCCTCAGCCCCACGCGAGCTGTAAGGCGACCGCCGTCGCGGGTGGGAGACGCTGTCCCCCGTGGGATGCTGCTGGGGCCGCTGCGATGGGGACCGCGGATGCGCTCTGAGCATCCCGCTCCCATCCCGCTCCCATCCCTCTCCCATCCCGGGGACAAAGCCTGGGGCTCCCCCCAGCCCCAGGACCGTTTAGCCGGGCGTGAAGGGGCTGCAGCCCCCCAGCTGGCAGCCCCCCGGCAGCGGTCTGCCACGGCTGGGAGCCGCCTCGCTTTGGCTGCAACCCCAACAGCTCCCCTTAGGGTTTTTCTTTTTTTTTTTTTTTTTCCTCCCCCTTGCTCTTGTTTGAGGCGGCGAAGCCAGGGATCTGTGCTTAATTGAAGCAGGAGGCTGGGGGTAGGATGCTCAGGTCCTCCTCAGGTGGCCGCTGGGGCAGGAGGAGGTCCTGAGGTTTGGGGAGGCGGCTGGGACATCCCGGCTCCGCACCGACCTCCTCCGCACCCCAGCACCGGCCCTGGTCCTGGGCAAGAGCCCCGGGAGGGATTTTATCTCAGCAGAGATGGCTTTGACAGAGCTCCAGGTAACTCCTCGTGCTCGCTCTCCCTGTCACTAGATGTCACCAGCAGCAACTCTCTCAAGTCCCGAAGGCAGAGGGGGATTGCGACCCCCCGAAGGGACCATTCTAGCCCTGGAGCTTTTCAGGAGCCCCAGGCTCTGGGCAGGACCCAGGCTGGTTCAGCTCCTGCCTCGCAGCCTGGGCTGGAGCTGAGCCTGGGCTGGGGGAGGTCCCAACCTCCCCTGGAGGATCCCAGGGTATCTGGGTGGGAGGCCAGGTCTCTGCAGGATCCATTTTGCGAGTGGTTCGGATCGACTGAGTCACTGATTGACTGCCTGATTGACTGCCTGGTGGGCTGATTGATTTTCTCTAGAGAAAGTGGACGGAGAGAAAAGAGCTCCTGCAAATGGCCAGCTCTCCATTGTCAGCAACGCAACTGGGATTAGTGGGGTGGATTTAAGGATACGCTCATCATCTCTCACCCCAACCAGAGCAATGCCATCAGCTAGTAGTCAACTTCTGCTCTCAGGCTCTCCAGAAGGATCTCATCCCCTCCAAACTGGCTTTAGACCCTTGCAGGCTCAGCACCGTCTCAGCAGATGCCATCCAAAGCCCTCCGTTTGCTCTCCAGATGTTTCCTAGGTGTTTGGGTTATGGATGGACAAGAGCTGCTCGTTTCCATGTGCAGGGATCTCCCATGGGGATTGGGCTGGTGCTGGCAGCCCCTGCAGCCAATACCAAAAAAACACGTGGGCTACAGCAGGGTAGCCTCGCTTTTGGTGTGCGTGTCCCCCATTTTGGGGATGACGCCGGGTGGAGGAGGCAGGGCTTGATGAAATTCAGGCTCTCCGAGGCTGTACAGGGCAGTGTCACCATCACCAGCCTGGCTGGAGAGCTCCTGCTGTCACTTCACACCCAGCTCCCTGCTGGAAGGGGCACGCAGGGGGAGCCAGACCAGGCAAAATTAAGTATTTGAACACATTTTTATTTTCTCAGCCACTTTTCAGCCAGATCAGCTCCCTGATCTGTCTCACCTGCAGCCACAATGTACCAGTTCCAGCAGGAAGGGCAGTGTAAGACCACACAGCTAGGGACAGGGACTTGGCTTTGGGGACATTCAATGCTGCCTCGGTGTCCCCAGATATTTGTTTGTATCTGTGTTATTGGCTAGAAATCCCACCCGCAGGACACTGGTCAGGTAAAAACAGAGGAAAATCAACACTCTGGAAGGCACTGATTAGAAAAAAATAATAAAGAATATAAAATAATATAAATATAAAGAATATAATTAATTTTATGAGGATTCAGGACTATCCTTCTAACCAACCCCCAAAGCTTTGTCGATGTCTTGTGCAGCATTCACAGAGCACACCAATCCCTGCAGAGACAAACTAATAATTAAAGGACGGCAATGAAAATATGTGCTGGAGACAAAGATAGAAACCGAGCAGTTTGCTGCAAAGTCCCCGTCAGACCATTTCAAACCCTTTTCGGAGCAGGGGGATGCAAGGCAGCATCCTGGAGTGGCATCTGGGCTGTCTTCTGCTGACAAGTGCTGAGTTTACCTGGCAAGTTTTACCACGCGTGGTAGTTAGCATCATTTCTGGCATATGTTTCCCACGGCCTCTTCACAGATGCAATCAAACATGAGGGATCGGCTGGCTGTTTTTCACCTGGTTCGGGAGCTCACCTCCCAGAGGGAGAGCAAAAAAATCTCAAAAAAAAAAAAAAAAAAAAAAAAAAAAGCATCTGTGTGTACGAGAGGGGGAAACGCTCCCTAAATTAGTGCCTTTGTCAGTTCTGACGGGAGCAATCCGTTATTTGCATCCATAAGAACGGGATATTTATGTCTCTTCGTACTGGCACGGAGAAGAAATAAAACTTCTCCCTCAACAGGCTGTCCCCCGACACCGTGCAAATTCCTCCGCGGGGATATTGCCACACCCAGAAAACATTATTTTTTTTTTTCCAGGGCTCTGGAGCCTAAAAAAATAATTACCCCTGGGTAAAAATTAGTACTAGTTAAGTCTAATCATTACTGTGAATTACTGAGAGCAGAGTTCATTTTGCTTTTGGAGAAAGAAATGTCTTCTCTGCTCTCCTGGCTGTTTTCACAGGCATCTATTGTGCCTGAAATTCATCATTTCTGCACAAGACTTGTTCATTTTTATAACTTTCTGCCTGGTCATTTTTAAACATGACTTTCAGTGTGGCTAAAGTTTGTCAAGTTTCTGTAAAAATAATACTTTGCTACCAAGATATTCATGATTTTTTTTCCCCTCCAGTGGATTTCATTTTCCCTCTGCTTCTTTAAAGAAAAAAAGAACCCCCTTCTTCTCAGCCTAAAGGTGTAAGAGAACAAATTCAAAGGGAGTCCTACTGCTAAAAATTAAAAAATAATATAAAATGATAATAAAGAAGAATAGAAGGACACAATTTCATGTAAAAATAAAATAAAAAGTAATAAAACAAAGAAAAGGTTGTTTCCATCAATCTTCAGCTCAGTACAGTTCCATTTTTTAAAAATGCATCTGTCAAAATCCCCTCTGGTAACAACTTCTGGCAGTGGACCTCCAGGCTGGTGGTGGGAGCCGCGTGATGGTGGGTGCAGGAGCAGGACGTGTCCACCAGGACGTGTCCACCACCCTTCAGCTCTGCTGGCCATCACACCTGGAAAGGCTCAAACATGGGACTTGTGGGGTTGGGTTCCTGGTGAAAGCATGCTTGGAAATCGGGAGGCTAGGTTTGAAAAGGTGGATGGTCTTGGAGGTGGACTAGGAGAAAAACTGACTTTGGTGTGACCGTGGGTGAGTGTGCCCAGGTGTGCCCAAGAGGGGTTGTGGTGGTCAAGGTGATGGAGAGCAGGGTCCCAGGATATTTATATGGAGAGCACAAAGGATTTGCAGAAGATAAAGCCCCCTCTTGCCCCGGGTGAGGAGATTCCCTGGCCACAGGGAAGAAAAATGGGAGTGCAGGAAGGAAAGGCAGCTTCTAAGGTCACATTGCACTGAAATCACCTGTGACTCCTCCAGGATTTCGGTCTAATAAGAAGCGATGCCACAGCTGGCACCTGCTGAGCTGAAGGGAGCTTGGCAGGTGTTGAGGCAGGCTGGTGTCTTCATGAATATTTCCAAGCACCTCCCTGCATCTTAGACAAGCTAAGCTGGTAGGAAGCCATCCCCCAACTGCAGATCTGCCTTGAGGGGCCCAGCAGTGTCCCATTTTTTCCCTGCTGCTGGGAATGGCACCCATGCAAGGCAAGGAATAGCCTCTGGGGTGTCCTGGACATCCCAAGCTTTTTCTGGTCCACCTGATGGGAGCTGGTGGGGTGGTAGCTGAGATTTAGCTGCCTGCAGCAGATGGCTTGGGATGGGAGAATGATGCTTAGAGATGTAGACTGAAAAAAACCTCTCTGGACCCCTGGGCCACCTCTTATAGGGAAAAAGTGTTTCCTTGTGTCCTGCTGGACTAAATATATATTCCCCAGCTCAGAATTGCCTAATTGCCTTGAATGTATCCTGAAACCCTTGAGCCTTGTCTCTTTTCCCCTCCCTCCATGCAAATCCCTGATGTCCCTCCGCAGCCAGCACCTTGGTGCGCACGCTCCTCTCCCTGTCCCAAGCCATCTGGGAAGCAGTTTGCCTGAAAGACGCGGTTAAAAAATAGTTGTGCTGTGGTTTTGATTTATTGGATCCAACTGGAAAAAGCTGCCTGTGATACCTGCCCTTGCTGAGTGCCTTGACAGGGTTATTAGCAGCGCTCCCCATGCTACCGCTGACATATGGGTTGGCAGGTCATTTTGACACAAGTGCAGGCAGCTGGTTTCAAGTTCATGGGTCCAGTTTATGGAGGAGAAAAGAACCAGTCAGGCTTT